TGTTTCTTGTTAAGCATGGGCTTAATGCTACCAACTCGTCTCGCACAGATTATCAAATAGTCTTCATGACCTTTAGTCATGGTGAACATAGGCCAGATCTGAACTAACAAACTGTAAAAGGATCTATATCCCATTACCAACCACTGTCCAGTCTTAATCATTAACATTTTAGTGGCAAAAGTTCAAATGAGTTATTTCATTAATAGTCATGAAACTAATTACATTGAAGTGCATCTATCAGTAGTAAAGGCAACTGACTTCTGTGCTTCTGAATAAATTCAGTCTGCATTAGGAAATGTTATTCTGCCTCTAAATGAGAGAAATACATTGCAAATCATGAAGAGGTATTAAAAAGGAGAATGCAGATGTGTCCTAAGTGTGATGTGCTTGATGCTGCAGTTCCCTAATGGAATCAATTAATGAAATGAGTAATCAGAAGTGTGTTTGAGTAGAGGAAGGGTCTTGGGCAATATTTTGTGCCATATTTCCTCCCTCAGGCACTGAAAAGTCTGCAAGATAAGAAAGGTTGGGGGACAGGAGGGTTGGCATTGACTTGGATAAAATCAAACTCAACCCAGTATCAAGGTTAGTTTGGATATGTAGGAATGAGACCTGGGTATACTGAGGAGATCTGACCAGAGCCTACAAGGTATCTATTCAAGTTATTTCCATGGGAATTTGGCAGCTGATTGTGACTAAGGACATAGTCAGATTTTATTTGCTCAAGATCACAGGAAAGTTTGTGATGGAGCAGCTCTAGTTTCCTGAGCTAGGAAAGCATCCAGCAGCCCAACACTGCAATGACTCGAGTTTGCTAAGAGTGTGTGAATTTGTCCACCACATCATTCCCGTGCCCAGTATAGCATGTCAGGTCCGGTCTGGTCCCACTGCCCCTGCAAGGACTGTTATTTGCCGTTGTTGTCATCCCTCCTTTCCCATGTCTCCCTGAACCTGCGTGTGCTCCACAGACGCCATGGAGGCACACACTTGGAGGCACCTGCTGCCTTTAAGAATGAAAAACAAAGTCGTCCTCATCATGTGGTCATTTATGGTCCAAGAGGTGTTCGGCGGGGCCAGTGAAACGGCCTGTTCCTCCACGAGTGTGCAGGTAAATGCGGGAGCCGCTCCACGCGAGACCCAGGAATAGGTGTAGGCTAAAAGTGGTTTGTAGACAAGTCTCAAGGGTTTCCAAACCATTAAGCTGTTCCCCTACAGTCACAGATTGAGAGTTGGCTGATTGACCCCGAAGAGAGAGTTCTTTACTAAGGATCATCCGAGAGCACTGTATTTGTAATCCTAGACCCTATGAGAAATTAATTGCTCTGCAGTCTAAGATACATTTATCTCTTTCCTAGGGTGAGCATGTGGAGGAGGAGAGAGAAAGGGGAAGAAGTCATAAATCTGTTTCTGCTAATTCTTGCAATTGGTCAGCATTCCCCCACAGAAGGGACTCAAAAGCAAAGATAGGAATGTGCCAGCTCTACTTTTGTACCACAGTCTCCTGTCTGTAAAATGGCACTTTCCTTTTCTAGGGAGAAGTAAAAACATTAAAGAGTGTGAGCAGTAACAAGGTTACACAGCTATTTAAGGTAGATGAACCAGTTTGTATAGTAATTATGGCCTGAAGTCAGCTGCATTTACAAACGGCAACCTGTTAGGAAAAGTGCTGTATGTGAGTATATAGTAAAAGTAACTGCTAGTTATGACTGTGTATCTATCCATATTAACATGTCTTTATGTGTCTCATAATGCTGTGGCATTCTGCACAGGTATGAGAAGTTAAGGAAAGATAGTTTTCCCTCTTGGCTTTACTATCTATTATTTTTGTGTTGTTAACAGGCTCTAGCAAACACAGTTGTGTTACAGACACATTGCAGGAGATGGTGTCTCCAAAGTTGAAGCTGACAATGCAGACATTGAAAATATCATATATTTGTTTTACATCTGGGCAACTAAACTGAGATACTTCAGCTGACCTACCATGAAGTTAATGAGGTAGTACTTACATATGTAACATACAGGCTGCATCCAATGAGCTGTTGTAAACCAAAGATGAAGCTCAGTTACTTTGCTCCTAGTAAGTTCAGGTTTTATTTCTGTTCTTCAGACTTACTCGAGAGAAACCTGCACTAGAGTAACTATAATGAAGGAGTTACTCAATGCAGATTCGCAACCCAGACAACGTGGCACCAGTGCAAATACGGTCTTGTAGTACTGCCACGAATGCCAACGAAATGAACTGTAATGGGCTCAGCTGTGTTGGACAGGCCAAAAATCCATAGAAAGAGACAAATCGGGTTTTTTCTCTAGTAGAGAGCACCTTGCTCTTACTTCTTGTGGAATGTTCCTCAGCAGCCTGGGGTCTTCTCAGCTTGTCTTGAGAAGAAGCTAAGCTGTAGTGGGACCAGGGGTGACACCACCTGCATGCAGTGAGTAGGAGTCACACAAGCATGATCTCCAGGAAGCAGGAAGGCAAGCCTGCTGTGATATCTATCCCCTTCTTGCTCCCAGCTAACAACTGTCGTAAGACTGCAGAGGTTGTAAATAGCTTGAATTGACTCCTGCGGTTCACCAAAGCAGGAACATGGTCAGATGTGTAGTTTCCCTCTTCAGATACCTTTGTTTAACTCATCCGTGGAAGCCGGGCCACATGAATTTTTTAGATGAGGAATAGCTTTTTCAAATGTTTCTTCTTCACTTAGTAAGCAATATAGATATAGTCAACACACCCACATAGGGAGTGGCAGTCTTGCCAACCAAGTCAGCAAAGAACAGTATTGAACACTTTAGAGGTACCGCAAGGAACCCCAGGGAGGTGGAACAGATGTTCAATGCACCTCTGCCTGTGAAGAGGTCACACAGAAGGAGAGATCACTGAAAGCTGATCTGTCCCATAAGAAAGGTTGCTTAATCAAGAAAAAGTATTGGACGAGGGACTTGAGGGAGTAAGAAATAAAATAAGATTGTCAAAGCTGTTGAGTTTTGCTGTCTGAGTTAGGGATGGCAAATGACAAAAACAATATCCACCAACTAATATGCAACTTTTCCAAAGTGCTCTGAAATTGTAGGGAATTTTCCATTAATACCCCTGAGCTCTGGACCAGACCTAAGCATTTCTCTGGCAGTAAGAGAGAGGTGCGATCTCTCCTAGCTTCTGTGCAGTCTCACCACGTATTTTGGCAGTGTTTGGCCTCCTCGCTCTGCTATTTCCCACTGGGCCTGTGCAGATAAAGAGGACAGGATACGAATATGTTTGTTATTTGACAGGCAGTAGAGCAGCTTTGCCTGCAACATTTATGTTTGGCTTGGAGTTGCTGAGCTGTATTTCTTAGCTGTAGAAATAGATGCTTTCTGCCTGGCTTATGCCCTAAGCAAGAGTTGTTCCCTCCCCTCCCTGCCCAATAAGTTGCAGTAGCCTATGCTACTGCTATTTTTTCTTGATACATGTATGGTCACAGCTAGAGAATTACGTGGAAAAGCACAGAGTGTGCTGCTTCTATGTGGGAATTTACAACTGGGAGCAAACACCAGCATGGCAGCCCTGTTGGCTTCCCTTATGGGTTGATCAGTGCAGGTCTCTCCGCACCACCTCAGCTGTGACCTGGACTGACCTGACCTGGAGTGAGAGAGTGACTCAGTTAATTCCCCTTCAGCCCTTTTGGTGGCTGCTGCAGCGATGGCTGAGGCTGCCAGGTGCCATCAGTGCAGTGCTGTCCTTTAGGAGGTCTCTTGGGAAGGGGGCTGAGACTACCAAAGACTTGTCAGCATCAGCTGGTAAAAAAATTTAGTTACCAAGACTTCCAGCTCAGATAAATATTGTTATCTCCAAGAGCCAGGCTCCCTTTCTCTCTCCTTTCTGCACACACAGCGTAGGACCAAACCCTGAAATCTTTACCCTCTTCTTCTGTGGCAATGCATAACGAATGCCACTGATCCAAACCAAGCCAAACAAAAATGTGCTCTTATTACAAGTGACATATTTACTAGAAACAAACTAGCAAATAGTTTACTGTTTAGTTCCCAGAAAGACACTGTTGTCAGCCAAATCAATGCACTGATGCAGCAAAGCATTCCAGCGAAATAAATGAAAAGAAAGAAGAGGAATCCATGCATGGGCACAGCTCAGTGAGGTTTTCCGAGTGAGGTGTTAAAACATTTTGCTCTGAGTTGCCTTCCGAACCAGAGCCCTTTAAACCGTTTGTGTAGCTACAGGGTTGCAGAGCTGAGCAAAGCCAGGCTTGGCTTGGGGCAGTCTGGGAGCCTGGTCTCGGGTAAACTGCAGTGCTTCATCTTTCTGCCGGCAAGGGAGATGAGCACACGGGGGAAGGGAAGCACAGGCCAGTAAAAAGACTACACTTCTGCTATGAGTCAGCCCCAAAGGAATGTTAATTTTCATTTGTTTGTTTTGGGTTGAGCTACCAGAGTTTACTGGTGCAGCCAAAACCCCTGGGTCTACAGAGCGCTGTGCTGGAGGCAGGCTCGGTACCTTGCCAGGGACCGCTTTGGGATCCCCGCTGCCCCTGCTGCCAGAGCAGCTGCAGCCGCTCCAGCCCATCTCAGGGTCCAGAGTAATGATATGTATCCCAGGCCTCCTCCCAGCTCCTCGGCACTGTGTTGGAATGGTTTAGACAGCCCTGGTCTTCAGGGGCCCTGGGGACAGAGACCAGCCCTTGCCGCTGGGGCTACGGGGATGCAGAAGGGATGCAGAAGAGCATATAGCAACTGGGCTGGGTTGACAGTCATTATATGGCTGTGCAAGGGCAGACTTAATCTCTCTGTCCCTTAATGCTTGCAAACTTACTTTTCCTTTCCTTCTTTCCTTCCCTGAATTTCTCTTCCTTGCTGATAACTCTGCAGCTCTCCTCAGGATGCGGTTTGTAGGAAGGTGCCTGTGCAGAGGATGGCTGTATGTTGTTTCTATGCTGTCGTGCTGCACAGGAGTCTCAGTCGGAGTTTCACTGTGTATGTCTTGCTCAACAAGTCCCAGCCTTGCAGCCTCGGGGGGTTTGCGTTGGCATTGCAAGTGCCAGAAAGCAAGGGAGAAGCTTTTGCAAATTAAAGGTGCCAGGTTTGCATGCTTGCTCTACTCTGTGGTAGGGTAGAGGTGAGACTTCTCTGCCACCTCCGTGCATCACACCCAGCCATACCAAGCACCATTGAATCTTTCCTCTCCGGGGTCTGTGTTCCCAGTGACCACTTTCAGTACTTACTGGAATTCATCCTGGAAGTGACAGGGTGCAGGCAGGAGTGCCCAAGCCCAGTTTTATTTTGTAAGGGGCCTGCAGGGTCATGCAGCCCCTCACCTGGTCTTTAATTTTTTTTCCCCAAACTTGCCAAGCCCCATCTTTGAAGCAGGCAAACCTTTTTGCACTTAGAAAGCAGTCTCCCAGAGTTTGGATGATCCTAATGGTTGGGACTCGTCTTCCTGCCTACACGCAGTGGTGGCTGATGTCTGCAGGTTTGTTACGGTGCCAAGAAAAGTAGAGAGATTATATACCTTCCTCACCTTCCCCCTTGCATGAGAGCAAACTCAACCTGCCAGGTTTTTTTTAATAGACATGTAGCAAGGAAGAGTTGTGCGAGCCTATATAAGGCATCAAGATTTTTTTTTTTTTTTAATTTAAAGCATTCGTGGTTAGCACATGCTGAGGATCAAGATAGTCTTTCAGACCTTGCGAGATCAGCCACCCGCTGTGTTTGATGTGATAGATTTGCCCCAGCCTGCATGCTAAAGACTGTTTCTCACTGTTAATTTGTTAGTGTATATCATTTAATGTGAATGCAGAAATCCTCAATCATTTAAGACACTCGATCATTCCCACTCTTCCTCCCAAATTAAACAAGGCTGAGAAGTAAAACTGTATTTAAGCAGAGGCATCAAAGACTTTTCCCAGTCTTAAAAATGGAAATGGCTTGCATAAGGCAACTGTGGTTTTTTTTTTTTTAAATGCAGAGAAGCATGTTTCCTTTTCTTTTGTTAATTATAAAAGAAAATTCACCAAGGAGAATCTCGTTAAACAAGTCTGGCATTGAAGGAAAGAAAGAAAGAAAAGAAAAGGACCTGCCTTCACTCTGTAGCTGGTTGACCCGACTCACAGCCATGACCTGAATTTAGTTTCCTTCAGATTTTTGTTTCCACGTTTTTCCTCCATTGTTTTAGTCCTGTCAGTCCTGACAGCTTCAGGAAGGATGGCAGAACCCTGTATTTTGCCCCCGGGCACACCATGAAAACAACAGTTTACAAACTGAAGCGTCAGGTATGGACTTACTTCATGCGACACACTTTTGCAGCCCAGGGAGCCCCGGGAGCAGTGGTGGATGCCCCTTGCTGGCAGGCGGCTCTGGGGACTTTCATTTCCCAACCTTCTCGCTGCCTGTCTGCCATCCTCTTCCTCAGACCCGTCAGAGACAAATATTTCCCCAGCCCAGTTTCCTTCTTTGTAAAATGTTTAATTTGGGGGAAGCAGAGATATTTTTTTTTTCCCCAGTCACACTAAGAGGCAATGGGGGTTGGAGCATTCGAGCAGTGCTGGATGAGCTGCCCTTGCAGGGGGCTGACCTGAAGACACTGAAACGTCTCATGCAGAGCTTTGACTTGCGTGAGGACAGAACTACAGCTCTTGGTCTAAAATTGTGCCCCCAGAGAGGCTGTTTGGAGAGCTCATGAGTTTTGCTGGGGAACCAACTAAACAGTGAAGGAGCCCTCCTTGTGTGAAGGAGCCCTGGTCCTGTTGCGTTCAGGGAACCCCAGACACGGAGAGTCTTCCAGGACCATTCATGCTGTCCAAAATGGACTAGCATACAAGAATAAGCCATGCCAGCATCTCTCAGGACATCGAGCCTGTATTCCGTCACTTTTCAGTTATGTTAGCTGCAGGATGATTAAGTTTCATACCAGGACTTTCCCATTTTCGTTTTGGCTGCAGGACGTATGACAGAAGGCTGCTAAATATGCCACCCCTATGGTTTAAAACACTCCATGGTTTAAAATGCTTCAGTATACCACGGTGGGAAAGAGAAGCAGCTGTTTGAGAACATTTCTCCATTGCTCTATTGGATAACTGCAGCCACTAAATTCAGATGGGCCCATCATTGGCAGCTTTTTCTTGGTCCCAAGGAGCTCCCAAACTCTTGCTCATTAACACCTCCTGCCATCTGTAGGTTTTAGTAGGTCTGATATAGAACCAATTCATCTTCTTGAGCCTTCTCAGAAAGGTGTCAGCCTAGCACAGGCTGTGAGCACCAAATTTAGCCAAATCATTTGAATATAGTTTTACTTGAAGTTTACAGTGTTTCTGTGAATGCAAATGTAGCAGTGCTGTTGGCTTAAGTTTCAATTACATGGGGCCACATTCTCGTGTACTTCCCTGTTTTGTGAGTGAACCCATTTCCTTTAATTATTATTTAACAGGATTATTTAGCGTGTTACCGGTAGTAGTATTATCAGTATTACTTGGTTTTCATCGGTACTATTGGTATTATTTAACAGGAGTGAGTGGAAAGTAGAAGTCAGACTTATTCTTCCTGCCATCCAAGCAAACAAGAACACTTCTGAGACACGAATAAAATGTGTTACAGTGCTATAGGGAGTTTGGTGTATATCAGCACAATATTTAAATACACAGACAGAAGAAGAAAGAAGCACAAGCTGATTTAAGTAATAAGGACTGGTACTGTGGTGACTGAAGTCTAGTTAGGTCCATCATCTGGTCTGTAGCCATGTAACACCCTTGTTTTATTTAGGGCAAAAGCTGCCGGGGTGGGGCAGGGTGGGTGGAGTGGCGGCTGTAGTACGGATCTAGCATTTTTCAGAAATGTGGATGAGAAGCTCAAAGCCACATTGATAAGAATTCAGTCCCCAAAAGAACAAACTTCTGGAACTGCAGGTTTGATACATCTTTGAACAAGTCACCAGTATCATGTGAGATTGCTAAACATCTAAGGCAGGGAGATGCTGATTCTTTTTGCTGATAAATTAGGTAGCTAGAGGGACTAAACCATAAACTGTAGGCTGAAAACAAGTAATTTGCAATGAATCACAAAACTAAATGTGTTTTTGCTTGGCCCAACCTGTCATGCTTGCTAGCCTCTGTTCGGGTGAGGGACGTAGGGGCTCTGCTGGGATTGCTGATCAGGGCGCTGGGATGGCACGCTGGGTGGGCTCTGCCCGCTCAGGAGGGTCTCTGTGCCAGCCAGCCGCTGTGCTGCCGACGGGGCTGAAACTGCTGAACTGAAGCGCACTTTGAACACGGACTTCGTGCCTTCTTGGTAAAAGACAGAGGACTCAAACATTTTTTGTCAGAGACCTTTCTCTGCCGCTCCTCCCTCTGCACATGCAGTCACCTCGGCGATTCAGGCTAGCGAGAAGGAGCAAAATTAAGGGCTGCGCTGGAAATTTCCACGTGAGCCGGTGCGCCCCTGCACTGTGCTGACCATGTGGAGATAGCAGCTCGGAGCCCCAAAGCAGCAAAGCAGTCTTGGTCATGCCCAAGACCACTACCGCTGGCTCTCAGCGCAGGTGCGGATTGGCCCCAACACAGCAGTACCGTGTCCAGGATGCAGGCAAACACAGGGGCACATGTCTGTGTTTGTCAGTCGCTGTTGGTGCAGGTCAAGGTCTCTAAAATATTTTTGTTTTCAGTGGGCTGGAGTCCCCGTGAGCCGGAGAAATTTAAAATAAAGTAGAAAAAACCTTGCAATGGAGGAGAATCACTGCCATAGGTCCCTAAAACATGAGTAAACTATTTCCCCTCGTCGTTTTGAAGTCAAGAC